CTGCTGTTGCATGCAAATAAGGATTTTCCTTTAACAAGTTTTTATAGATACCGTATATACTCGCCTATAAGTCGATCCGCCTATAAGTCGGTTTTATTTAATAATCTTGCATATCAGATGGACTAACCTCATATAAAAGTATACATTTTATAGCTCGCCTATAAGTCGGACAAAGAGTTTTAGACCAGAGATTAATTCCCCAAAAAACCGACTTATAGGCGAGTATATACGGTAATTGAAATTTTGACTTAAGTCTAAGTCTGTTCATGATCCCGGGGCCAGGTCCCACAAGGAAAAAGCATCGCCTATCGATCGATCATACCAACCATAACCTTGAACAGGTCGACGGAAGATCAAAAGTCAAATTCAGAATAAAAAACGAAACCCTAACAATTTGTGTGATACATGTACGTCAACTAAAATACGACATAATGGTAGGTTATATTTGCTGACAAGATCATTAATATGACTATAAAATTTACCAAATGCTGACTTTAAACGCAGCTGTTGATATACCTGTAATATCTACTTTTCCGTCAATAGACTGCCTCTCCCGGTAAAAATATGAACTTACTCCGAACATGCTCTTGAGTATTGAATAAGTTAGATGCACGTGATAAGGAAAGTTTTGGATGGAAAGGACGTGATAATCGTGTTTTTCATTCAGTTTAGTTGTTAATTGGCCCTTTTCATCTATAGTCAGTAAAATATTAAACAGGAGTCACAGACTCTACGGTGTCTTTAATTTTTTAGGTCCACTAGGATGAATCGTATCAACAAATGAATTAAAGTACCAATTAATAATATGATAAAACATCGTCGATATTTCTTATTGTCAAGTTGAAGGCCACAGCAAGTGCTTTCTTCTCATTAAGAACTTTTTGAATGAATTCAGGTTCATTGGAAATAAAAACAAGTCAGCTAATAAAGGAGCACAATAAGTGTCCACAGGATATCACAGTTTCTCAGTCTCCGAATACTACATAAATTTTGTCAGTGACGAACTCCAGCATCCTTATGATATCAACTTAATTGTGTAAGGAATCAGTGAGAGTTATCTTTTACAAAATAAGTTTTACTGATGACCAAAAAATTGGAAAAATTTCCTACTTTAATTATTTTTGAAGAAACAGTTGTCTATTATATCTTTGTTTATTTTTGGGAGGAATGGTTGTATAAAGTGTGAAAAAGTTTTAGGTGTTGATGTTACTGACTTTTGAAACATTTGGCAAACATAAACTTGTCTAAAGTTCTTTGAGATTTTTATAATTGACATCTGAGTAACAACCAAGAATATTCTAGTACATAGTCGTCTGAAACCTCTCTAGAAAAGCAAAATGAAACATGTAAAACACCATTAATACTAGAATTATACCTCTCTCTCTCTCTCTCTCTCTCTCTCTCTCTCTTCATGTTATTACAATTTGCAAAAGGACTAGTTAGACAATACATAGTTACTAGTATAGTTACATGAATAGGCTCATAATAAATGTAATTATTTTGTTATATCAAAATATCATTGCTTATAATAAATTGCTTAATTTGAAAATAAATTAGTTTTGTTTGCATCTCATAAAAATTACTTCTTTTATTATACAGATATTTGTCAAGGTTTAATATTATTGGATAAGAAGAACACATAGATTGTGATGCCTAGTATGTTGGTTGTCTATCCATAGAAGCAGAAAAATGCAGTTTTAAAAAAGAACGTTTAATCTTCAATCTATTCTGTAGGGGTCTCGTAGGGATTATCAAAATTACTTTCGACCTTGTGATGGTTATCGCATATACTAGTGCGACAATGATACTGTATTGAAGAGGTTGTATGTAAATTGTGGCTTGGCAAGATATAAATGAGATGTTGTATGTTAAATAATTTTTGTAAAATAATACAATTTCTAAACACTTTATTTTGATTCAAAATGTAACTGATTATCATGAGGTGATTTACTAATAAATACATACTACAATTTTAAATTTACATTTAGCTGAAAGTGCTGACCATCAATCATTAAATTGAAATATGGAGATATATTAAAAAAACAACAACATTGAAACAATACAAATTTGGAGCAGAGCAGACACGGGCCTCTTCAAAACACCAGAGGTGGTGTCAGGTGCTATTGAGAAGAAAAACCTGGAATTTTACATTCGTTAAAAGAATCTCTCTCTTTCTGTATATTCTGAAAATTCTTTTAGCCCAGGCATTGCCTTGAGAGCTCGCAATGCTTTCAATACAAACAACGAAGTTGGTCGTTTAAATACTTAAAAGTCTAACACAATGCACTAGCATTCAGAACAAATCTGACAATAAAACTTAGAGATGCATTCAACTTTTTCATTGAATTCATAGTATTATTTTTCCATTACAACTTTATTTGACCAGAACAAAGTTCACATTAACCTGATGCCTGCAAAAGATAACCAGAAAATGTCGAAAATCTCTCATGTATGTAATTGCCAAATTTGTCAGCTTTCTTCACCCAGACATGCGTTCCAGAGGTCAGATTCGCTAACACCAAGTTTCCCCCATTTCCATAATTTACAGCATGACTGACGAATCCACATCCTAAAGCTCCTTGTGAGGAATCCAATGCCGTGTCCATTCCTGAGGCTTCATTAGACAATATATTCCAGTAGAAGACATATGTTCCAGTTACTGGCGCAGTGAAAATTCCAGATTGTGGATCGTAGGAATTAGTTGTGTCCACAACTTCAAGGTCAAAGATAACAGTTTGGGAGAGGCCAATTTTTCTTACGGGGCGCGAAAGTCGAGCGTGAAACGAAGGAAGCATCTCAGGTCCTGTTGATTTAAAGAGTGCTACACGGTTACATATAATTTATATTAAATTGATAATTAGAAAGAAGAATCGATTATAATTTTCTGTAAAAGATAGGAATGCTAAAAACGTTTCTTAAATAGCACTGACTTATCTTATTTTGATTATAAAGCATAAAATGTGAATATAAATAGATAAATCAAACAACTTTGTTAGTTTTACTAAGATTTGTCAAATCTTCAATATACATGAAGCACAGTTTTACCTTTTAAACTATATGAAATCCAATCCAAATTAAGGAACTTTTGAGGTTAACTTTTTTAAGTATAATTGACTGACCTCTCCTTTTTTTCAGTATTTACTTACGTGTTCTCTCTATTTTTGTTGTCACATTCCTGAAATCTTCCTGTAATTCCTTAATCATTTGTAGTTTTGTGTCATCCTCCTTCTCCTTTTCTATTATGTTTTCGTCTAATTTCCTCTGCAATCGTTGATTTTCAAGTTCAAGATCAGTGACGTTGTTTTCCAGTTCTTGTATTTTGTCTAGTATCTCGGACATATCATTTTTCACTGTAATTATGAAGACTTTTCATGAAATATGTGACAAACCATGCAATTGTTTTTTTTCCTTTGAATTCATTCTTGTACTGCCACCTTAGTTTATTAAATTTCCTAACTAACAAGCTGTTTAAAAGAATTCTTTTTCCCCTATTAATGGAATAGAATATGCGTGAATGTAGAAAGCAGCTTCTTTACATATCGCGCGGAAATAAAAGTTTTACACACAAATAGAAAATATTAATTTACTTCCTTGACCTATGACCTCAAAATAGATACAGGTATTTCTCAGGCAACATACATTCTTTACACACGTCTTTACATAAAACACAGGGTTCCTTTAGTGTAGTGTCCGGCGTCTAGTGGTTCAGTACGTTTACTGATTAAACTAATTGGTAGAATTCTAGTGGACTGCCAAAATATACAAATACAACTGACCTAGCCTTATCTAGGTTAACAATAATAAAATGGTAAGTAGCTATCATAAGAGGCATGTTTCTACTTATTTCTAGCTCTACCCTGACGCAGGAGCCCATGCAGTCGCCTTCATATTACCGCATATACTGTAGGTATGCCCTTATTCAGTACCGACAATGAAGTGCAGTATACACTTGTATACTGTAGATTCCTTATTTTTCGCGAATAATTATTATCGCGAATGGGCTCTTCAACGTCAAATTGCAAGAAGAAATATTCACGAATGGACGGTTGATCAAGAGATTTTACATAGATTTCAGCACCATAACAATAAAGGCGAGTTATTTTATTTTGCGTGTGGTGCTTCTCGCGAAATTACGCGATAATTAATTCCACGCGTATATTTAGGAATCTACAGTATTGCACACTCGACAAACTGGTCAGCTAATGTGTGGAAACAAAAGTGTTGCAGACAGACAGAATTTTTGAGTTTGTGACTACTTGACCTATGACTTCTTGACCTTTGATATTTTGACCTCAAAGCAATAGGAGTGCTCTTTAGGCAATTACTGTTATGTTCCCCAAACAAAAATTACAAACATATTTTGCGTGCACATGCGTGCAAGTGCGTGCAATGAGTGAAATGACTGATATACTTACTATAGCCATAACATTTAAATTTTTCATGCAATGTCTTGAAATTTAAAACACGAAGATATATCAGTACTATAGAAAAAGACATGGTCAAATGAGCATCAACTCATGAGCATACATGTGTCCTTCCCTCTGATTGGCTGAAACAAAAGTTTCAATATCTTTCTTACTTTTTTGACAAAATACTTTGAAATTTCAAACTTAGTCAAACATTATTGAGTCTCCAACATAATAGTATATTAGAATAGTAGTAATCATGGAAGCGCACACGTGCATGTGATCTGCAATCTGATTGGCTTAAACTTGAAATGCCTATATATCTTAATTACTTGCTTCTTAATAAAACAGGATGAGATTTAAAATATGAATAAGTATTATGACTTTCTACATAATACTACTATAAAAATTGAATGCAAGGACATGCCTGCATGTGCAATATGTTCAAAGGACATATAGAATCGATATGCATCGTTTTGCTAGAGTTTGAGGGACATCTGTAAGAGTTTCTGTTACAATTAATACTAGTTAAAATTTCATTCCCAAAACCCAAATTCTCCGCGAGATATCATGCAGAAACAAAAGTGTTAGATACAGATAGAAATACGAACAGACGGGCAGACAAATTGAAATTATTATGTCTCATTTTCAGTGGTCACATTTTCATTTGACTTAAGTTTATTTAGTATATAGTTAAATCCCACAGAATTCTGTATTATTTATCAAAAAAGGTTATATAACCGTCAATTTATCTTTACATGCAGGTTTAGAGAAAAACAAATCAGCATGTAGAAAAAATAACAGACCCTCGGTAATTTCCTCGGTCCTGAATTCAGCAGTATAATTACGAAAGATTTCTTCTACAGCTGACTGGAGGTCTTTATGATGCTGTGTGTTTTCTTGTAATGTTTCACGGTCAGTGTTGTTAATCTTTATCTGTCTGTCCAATTCCATGCGCATTCTTTGTTTTTCAAGCTGAATATCAGCATTACCTTTTTCTACTTCTTCCATCTTTACCAGAACGCTGGCCATCTCTTTTTTCACTGTTAATAATTCATTGACAAACGCAGACATCTGATGGACGAGGGACAATCGTATTAAAGTTTCCTGACTCAGTTGCTGCTTTAGATGGTGTATGTCTTCCCGTACTGATTCGTTTGCACACACAACAGTTATTGGCTTCTCCTCGGATTTCAGAACCGCCAAAGGTAAATTTGATGTCGACATGGATATAACCATCCAACAAGAAGAAGATGTAAAAATAGCATTGTTTTGATTTGTAGATATAAGGATTTGATGCTCCCTAGATATCTTTTGCTTTAAGCCCGATGATTTACAATGAATATATGTATGAACTATATGTAAGGAATCACTCCGCTTGTTGTAAATTCAAAATATAGTCCTCAAAAAATAAAAAAAGATATACAATTTATTCTGTCCTGCAATAACAATTTTACACTTATCTTTCTTATTTATTGATTTGATATCTCTAATTGAGATATTCTTTGCCCTCTATAAGCTAAATAATATTTGTCAAGGGAACTATTTTATGGACACATGATACCACTTTCTGTAGTGTACTTGGGCTAGGTACAATTATTTCTTCATGAATGACCCAATTTTGTTTTTGCTATAAATATAATTTATATAATGAAGATAATTAACTATGATATAATATAATAATGATAATTAACTAAAACCTAGAAGGAAGTTGTATAGAAAAAGCGGGTTAACATTATTCACTCAGATTTCTATGTAAATGCTAAATCCATGCCAATAAGTATCGTTTAAACTTTTAAATCTAATAGACAATTAGAAAAACGTTATTACCGACTTCATCTTAAAAAAATGCTTCATTTAGTGCTAAAACAAACCAATGCACTATTCAGCTGATTGAGATTTAGTACACGTATAATGTATATCTGTATTCCTTGAGATAAAAGTACACAGGTGCTCTTTGGCTTTAACCACTTCAGTGCCACAGGGCCGATTGTATTGATTAGAATTATTGTACCGCCTTAGTATCTTTAATGACACTATACTTGATATTTTATTCGCAGAAAACTGGTAACTTAAAAAATGGATAAAATGACGTTCATGACACTTAAATGACTATTATATTTATTGGTTTTCCCACATAAGATTCTACGTACGTTTGAAAATGAACACACTAATTTGTATACTAAATTTGTTCATTGTATACACAATTTCACGTTCAAAACTATTTTTACACTGTTTAAAATCAGCATAGGCCTATACTTGAATATTTTGGCGCAAAAATACAGGTGCAAAATAAACCTTTAACCGGTTATCCAGGCCCGAAGAATATGCCACCTCGAAATGCAAGTCCCTTGCAATATTGTTACTATTCTTCAACTTGAATCTCATAAGAGAAATTGTACGACAAATTAGCAGGTTATTGTATTTTTTTATAATGATGTAGGCCTTTTTATAAATTTTAATTTCATTTGTTACAGTGCTTTTTTGAATATTTTCTCTGGTTATTTATCCTTGTTAGGATTGAAAATAAACTGTTGGTGTATTTTTCTATTTGCCTAACATTATATGTTTAATAAACGTTCAAAGTTTTGCACACTTAGTGAGACACAACTTTCATGATTTTTATAAAGCACATTAACCATCTGCACTTGCATTGTTTATTTACAATAAATAAAAATGTTCCTATTTATAAAAAAATAACTGTCTTGAATTTTTATAACGATTGTCAACATTAAACGTGAATATATATACTCCTCATACATTGGGGATTGAATTGTAATTCTTTAATTAGGGAAATAAAGCTGCTTTTCAATAAAAATGGAACTCGTGAATTTACTTACCTGGTCATTGGTCATTTTACATGTACACAACCATTCCAAACGATAAACTAAAGTCCAGGCTTTTTAAAATCATTGACAGCTGCTTTTTCAATAAAATGGAACTCATAAATTTACACTTCCTGGTCATTGGTCATTTAATTGCAATATTATTTTCTAAAACTCATTATGATTGCACTCACGAGTACTCTTAAGTTGACGTTCAAAGTATAAAAGATACCACATAGTCTGACACATCTGTTTCGTACTTGGATATTTTATTTGAAACAGACGTTAATGGTAATCTAACAACCAAACTGTATGATAAACGTGATGACCTTAACTTTTCTATCTTCAACTTCCCTTACTTATGCAGCACTATACCTTCATCACCTGCTACAAAGTTCATATCAAGTTGATGCAACAGGAATATCGTACTTGCGTGTAAACTTACCATTTCTTAAGAGCTATGGTCGATACAATGACCTTGTCAGCAAATACAATTTATCATTGAGTCAAATGCTGACTGACTTCATTCATACTCATTGTTTGTCTATTATTTATACACTGAATTGATGACGGATTTTTCTGTATTTTTCCCGATAATGAAAAGGAGCACACTGTAGGTGCGACCGGTCAGCAGGGATGCTCACCTATCCATGGCACCTGATCCAACCTCTGATGTTTTGGAGGTCTGTGTTTGTTCTGCTCCAATTGTATTGTTTTCTGAACTTTGACACTGAATTGTACTCGTTAACTCCAGATCCTTCATACAACTGAATCAAATTTAATGATGCTTTCACAGATTCTTTATTACATAATGCCACTGTGCAACTCCTGGTCTGGTCTGACATTTTATTACTCGTCCTCCAGAGCAAAATATAGACTTTGCCTTTAAAATCATATAGGAGCGGGGGGGATCAATTCGTAGCTCCCGTGTTCACAGTACTCTAGTTTTATCTATTCTGTTTTGATAAACATTCAAAGACATTGAAAATATGACATGGCATATCTGTAAATAAACTTTAATTGACATAAATAAAGTTTTTTTATCATTCAAATAAATCAATGTTAATTAAGAACATCTGTTTACGGATTGTCAAAAATTAATGTTGATAAACAAAATCGCAAAATCATATTTGTGTGATCATTTTTGCAGTTTATCGATGTTTTGACCATATTGAACAGTCTAACGAGGAACTGTAGTTAAACATGGCATATTTATTCTTTCTTCAAAATGCCCAGAAAATCAATCTTACACATATTGATTCCTTCTTATTACATGTATATTCACTAAAATTTTAAAACATCCTTACTGTCCTATGAATAATATAAACGTTAAAATAAACATTGTGGAAATTACAATGTTTGAAAGTGTGCATATAGTGATTTTATGTTTAAATACATAAATAATCAGAATGTTGAATATCATAATCCTTATTTACATGCCCTGGTTTTTCAAGTTAAATCATTTTTCAATATGCACAGATTGGCTAACTATAACTGTATTCAAATATTCAGTATTCACGTAAACGAACTCTATTCAACGTATTTATTTTTATTATTCGTCCATATATTTCAAACACCTAAACTTACACACACACGCCCTCTCTTACTGCGAGAGAGAGAGAGAGAGAGAGAGAGAGAGAGACTACGTATAAAAAGAACTGTCTTTTTTTCACCACAATTTCTCTACTCATGTACAGATTTGAGCTTATGCTGTCATCTATTTACCAGTCATATTAACATCTGGGTTTCTGCTACTTATAGCTCTCTTGATTGTTTCTTTTAAAAGGAACTCATAAAAAAAATTAGCCCAATCTCTCGTAACACAGAGAAGTGTTTTAAATCAGTCTATATTGTTCTGGAGAAACTTTAGGAAAGAAAGTCCAAATAAAACAGAAGTGACAAAGATACGAATAAGCTATTAATTAATTCTGAAGGTGTACTTTGTGTCCTACTTTAAAAAAAATCGCAGTCTTGAAAAGATGACTTTGTTAAACAGCAGCTGTTGAAGTACATCTGTAGATGATTGAAGTAATTGATATATACCGAATACTGTTCTATATGCAAAATTATCAGACTGTTTGAGGCCCGTTAGGGCCAAAAACTGTTTAAAATATTACATATAGAACAGTATGAGGCATATATCTTACTTAAAACATTGCCATTGAAATGTCCAAAAGTTACCTGGAGGAGTCCGATAATAACAAAATAAGAGTTTAAGCATGCATTGTTTTCTACCCGTCTGATTAGTAGATAAAAGAAATAAGACAGTAAAAAAGTTATTTAACTTTTGTTTCATTTCATTCATTCAATGGCAGACGTTTAGTCTAGCAGGATAGGGGTCCGCTGGTAAAAGATTTTTTTGGGGAAACATTTTTATTTATGGTGTGCATAAATTGACATTGATGTTGAAATAATTTTTTGTGTATTATAACCATCACCATGGAAAGTAGAAATTTACCCTGAAATTTTAGTTTAGATAATAGAAATATTTTTAGACTTTAAAAGTGTGGCCACCAGGGAACAAACATAAAATAAGGAGATTTACAGACAATTTATCAGAAATGGATTTAAATTAGCTTATTCAAAGTGTTGTATCAAAAACTCTTTTGAAGAGTGGAAATTATAAATGTTGTGGGAGGTTTAAACTCGGATTTTTTCATGAAATTTTGTTATTTTGTAGCAACTTAATTTCCTTGTGTTTGCTTTCCCTGATTTTTTCTTAACTTTTTATTGTGGGTTTCTGGACATATTTAACCTTAATTTCACTCTTCTTTTTGTTTTTTAAATGCCGTCCGATTTTGTTATTAATGCCGTCCGATAACGTATTATCAGACTGGTAATTATTATTAACGGACGGCTACAGGTAAATTTTAAGACTTTAAGACTGCAAGAACAAAGGCATGACGTCACAGCAGTGTTTTAATTTATGTTAATTAATTATTGTAAAATAGCTCAACAAGGTGAAGATCATCGCCATCAAACAAATGAAGATTTTGAACAAGCTGTACAAAAATCTATTTTGAATGTTCAAAAAGTACTATTGCTGTATATAAATATTCGAAGTATCTTTATTATATAGATCATGCTTTTATTAAAACAAAAGAAGGCCTTAGGAATGAAGAGGGATGTGTGGTTGTGTCCATTTTTAGACTATATTTGTCTCCTTTAGAAGATCTCCATATAAATATATATAAAAATAAAAACATTTTCAAATCATTTTGTATGTTTTTTTTCTTTGTCAAATAATAGTTATCAGCTTAAATATCATATCTAAAAAAATCGATCTGATGGTTAAATTGTTGACCCCAAGCCTCCTAATATCCACTACTGGAGTGTGTTACACTATTTTAAGTGGTCGACTAAAAGTGCAAATTCGAGTGTTGTAGGCAAATCTTAAAAGCTGCAGTACTTGTA